TCGCTACCTGCATCGTTAACCTTCGTGCTTACCTGCGTCGTCGCTGGAGATGTGCAGCACCTCACCGAGCGCCTCGACCCCCGCGAGCTCAGACACGGTCGACGCCACCGACACGTAGGAGTTGGGGCGGCTGTCGCGCGGCACGTGCTGCGCCAGCGCCGCGTTCATGCTCTTCAGCTGCTCCCGCATCCGCTCCATCTCCTTGTCGCGGTCGACGACCGAGCCCTGCGCAGAGAAGCACACGCGCGGAGGTCAGTCGGAGGTCGGCGGGAGCGAGGGAGGGGGGAGGGGCTCGCTCGTCGCCACGGGAACCACCGCGCGACGGGTTCGTTCTCGGGGGTTGGGACGGGGGCGTCGTCGAGGTTGCCGTGACGACCTTCACAATCGTTCTTCGGAAGGTCCGGGTAGTGTTGCGTCGGTCGTCACGGCAACCCTCGCGACGGCTCATCCTCATCGTGATTTAGATTGATGTGGTAGCGAGGGCGGGTTAATCACGTCTGCTGGATACATGTATAGCTAGACTGTTTCGAAAACGAGGTTATCATCTTACACAAAGGTTTTTCTACACATAGGTCGCACATACGTTGACAGACGTCTTATGCATGACAGAGGTCAGAGGCTACCATGCTATCTGTGGTTACACGGTCATACTGTGATGGGAGGAAAGTACCGATAGCGGTTTGTCAGTGGTTACAGAACAGTTTCCTCTCTCACGTAGCGACGTGGTGGTTACACCTGCCTATACAATAATGGCGTCTGACGCTTTGTTGTACGTTTAAGTAAAGTGAACATGCGATCTCTCGATCGAACCCTTCATCGCACTAGTGGCGAGTGTGAGTAGTGTTAGGTAGAAGATGACACAGCAAATCGCAGCATGCTTTCTCTCTGCAAGCGCGTCAGTGTTAGGGGGCGAGCGGTCGGTGAGAGAAGACTAGCCGCTCGCAGCCTGTTAATCTAGTAGCTCGTCTACGTCGGCAGAGCAACAATACATCTATGCCAAGATGAAAACGAATAAATCACTGTGAGTACTGCTGCCAGGAAGACGAGCAAATGCATGCCCCAAACCAGTGCATGCCTCGCACCAACGGTCGTGCGTGTTAGCTCCTCATGCGTTTAATTCACGGGTTCGGGTAGAAAAATACGAGCGGGCCGTGCCTGATGTAATAACTCTGCAAAACAGGAGGTAATACCCGATTACAGTTAAAAATCGATGCATGTATTGGCCTAATGCATTGCGTATCTGTTGCGGTAAGTCACAAAATGTTGCGGATTTAGCAAAAGAGGGTTTATAAACGATTGGGATTCTCCGTCTTCGCTTAACTACATCAGTAGTTCCTTGCTGGTCGTAATTGCTTTTGGATGCATACCACAGACAACTGCAATGAAACCTGAGCGATAACGTTCTATTCAGCTGCATAACGCACAACCGCGGGTGGGACAAGTTAATTTCGACTACATTGATCTCATCTGCTCGCCGATGAATGGTTAGTTCTGAAATCAAACATATTAAATTGAACTGAAAGTGATGCAATGGTGCTGGGAGTCGATATGCACTGCACTGTGCAGTGTGCATCGCACCAGTGGTGTTAGAGTACAAAGTGCCAGTGTACGTGGTGCTAGAGTACATGACACTAGTACAAATATACACATGACACCAGTGTACATAGTACAAGTGAATATTACACCAGTGCACATTGCATCAATGTACATTACACAAGCGCATGCTGTACCAATGTACATTGCACTAACGTACACAGCACCAGTGCACACAGTAGAGCTCAGGATACCATTATACACACAGTGCACTATGCACACTTGTGCAAATATGGAATGTGTGTACATGGCACTAATGTAGATGGCGCTAGTGTACAGTGAAGTGAGCTTTGCACCAATCGAGGGCTGTTCCAGAAAACAGGTCATAGGTCAAGTGGAAAGAACACAACCGAACGCACAGTTCATCCACCACCTCAACAGTCGAGTCGTTTGTCGTTTTAGTACGAGCGTCTATGAAGATCGGGTTAGAAGCAGGTAATGAAAAAAAAACCAAGTCAAAGACAAACACTTCTCACCCCTCCCTTGTCCTCTTTTCTGGAACACCCTTGTAGAGGCTGTAAGAGAAACAGCACGAGGTCAAACTCGACAGATGTTCCTTCTTGAGAAGACAGCAAGTGGACGAGTGCTTATCGACAAAGAAGGTGATCAACAGACGCTAAGGGAAACCCTAGGTTCACTGCCGAAGCTGAAACTACACCACCCACATCGTAAAATGCTACGACCATATCACACTCCCCACCTACATCGCTAATGCCCCTACCACATGACGCCCCTACCCATATCGCTAATACCTATCTACCCACATTCCTACCACATGACGCCCCTACCCACATCGCTAATACCTATCTACCCACATTCCTACCACATGACGCCCCTACCCACATCGCTAATACCTATCTACCCACATTCCTACCACATGAC